GGTGGAGGTTGTTTGGAGACGTCGGAGGTGTTCTGCAAGGGGAGGATGCCATTTCAGTCTCAAAAGGGGCTCTAGTTCCCTTATTGAAATTTGGCAACAAAGGCTTGCAAAGGATTGGAATAGTTAGGATCATGGTTAGGAGCCCATGGCAACGAGGGAGGTGCCTGGGTTTGTATGGAGGGGCTTTAGTTCCCTCCTGTTAATTGAAACTGTTTTAGGGACGACATATAGTGGGCTGGGGACTGCTGATGTCGAATTTTCCCTGCTCTCCCCATGAAGCTGGCTAAATAGGTGAGGACGTCCAGTAGTTTCAGACACTCATAGAGACCTCCTTTTCTACTTTTGTAGCCCTATTTTTGCCCTTACAGTGATTGTAGTTACAATCCTTAGTCACAGATGGCCCTCTTCGCTTAATTGTCCACATCCGTCATGGGCATAGTTTAAATCTGTTACTTATGCTGTAGGTTATGCTTCGATTTTTAGCTAGGCTATAGTGCCCTGCATTGAGATTAAGCTGTAATCTCCTTTCCATTTAATATAAATCTCTATTTTCTATAAAAAAAAAATAATAATAATAATTTTTAATGAGTGTGTTAAATCAAAAATATTTGTATCATTATCTTTTTGAAATTTCGTTACCAATTTCCAGCTATTTAATTTGCTAAAAAAAATTTCTCTCTTATTTTCTTAAATTGATATGAATATTTTCATTTTTAGTAGTATACAACTGCAGTATCTAGGAGATTTTTTTTCTAATAAAAAAAAGGGAAAAAGAAAAGAAAGAAAAACTCAATTTTGGAGATTACAAAATAGATATATACATATATCAACATTAAAATCCTTGCAGCCGGTAATGCAATGAGAAGTTTGATAATAGAACAAAGCTAGAACTTAAAGTCTAATAAAACCACACGTAGTACTAAAGGGGAATTTAACTTGGAAGGAAAGAACTAGGCTTTTCGAGAAGGAGGTATTTACACGCCTAGGATTATGCACAGAAGCGTTGTTTCGAGTTTCGACTGTTGCCAAATTTCTGCATTATCACCGTTGCTCAATTATGATAGGTATTTTCTTCCTCTTCTGTTTCTGTTTCTGTTTCCTCGTTCAACTCAGTTTTAGATTCCTCATTTTTGCCTTCATTTGATTGCTGATTTCTCTTTTGCGTTGATCGCGGCTTTGCTGTATTCTTCATACGATCAGTTTCTTGAGGCCGAATTTCATAGTGCTCAATTTTCAGATCTCTAAGAATTCGATTCAGTGCTATGATTAATTCATGTCTTAGCGAAATCATCGTTACCCCAGATCTGTGAACGTTTTCGTTGCAACAAGTGACATAGAGAACAATTTTAGCCCTTTGCTCATCTTCAAGTTCCTTAACCACCAAGTCACACTCTGGAAACCATTTCTTATTCTGGTCCTGGCCCAAGCGCCTGAAATATAAAGCAAAGTCATTTATATATTATATAATGATGGGAATCGAAACAAAAGAAAACATAATGTTGAACTTGGAACAACAACAATCTGCAATTAGAACTCTAGTCAGGTGGGACAATGGACTCTTTATTTTTTTTTATAACATGGATATATATATATTAATCTTAAAGATTAAATTTATTGATAAGTAAATATTATTTTATAAGTCATATAAGAATAATTTTTAGATGTATAGTTGACTTGAGACATTTTAATTGTAAATCCTAAAAAAAAAGTATGGATATATATCCCAATTTTTTGGCATGAAAATTTTTTGGCAAGTGTAAGTCTAACCCGTTGGAATTGTCAAACTCTTAAGCAACACCTAACAGAGCTTATATTTGAAACAAAATTTCATTTCATAATATAATATATAGGGAGAGATTAAGAGAGAAGCTAGTGTTGGCTTACTTTTTTATGCGACGTCTCAAAGATTTAATAATTTCCTCATCTAGTACTGTGGGCCATTTAATTGTAAACTCCAGAGAATCTCTAGTGTGAACGTTGCCGCTGTAAAAATTTCTGATGGGTATGGTACTTAAAACGGAGTTGGAATATAACACCTTATCCTTGTTATTTTTCCGAAAGACTGTTGTGAGAAGATTAATCCTTTCGACAACCATCTGTACGTAAATTAAGCATTAATGTGTCAATAAGTTGATCTTCAAAAAGTATATATAAATATATATATATGTATATGATTTTGAATTTACCTTTTCTCTGTTGATGAGACAAAGATCACCTATATCAAATGGATGCTTCACAAATACAAATATGATGCCCTCGAATGCACTCTTGGCCGTGTTACCAAACATGAATGTCAAAAAGAAAAGCTGAGACAAAATCAAGACAAGTCCTTCGCGGGTTAAAAGTCCGATCATAAGTGACCAGATTACAATGAGCAGAATGAGCACAATGCCAGAGAACAACTCGTTCAACTCTTTTATTGCGCATTTCATGTCATTTATGGATTGTACCAGTGTTCTGCGCTCAACGGTGGCGTGCACCTGCATATATAAGAAGCAATCATAGGTGAGAATTTTATTTTATTTTTCATCAAACATGAAATTCATTACGAAGTTGTTAAAAAAATCATAAAGCCTTTTAATTTTATTGTCACTCATTCTTTTTTTAATTAAAAATTTCATTAAAACATTTAATAAGAGTAAAATTGCTACAAAACTTTTAATATATTTATAACAATAAAAAGTGAAAGAATTAAATAGAGATACCTCTTTATAATATTTTTAAATGAGTTATTGTATATAAATATTAGGGTACAAAGAGTACTCAATCTTTGTAGACATACATCTCTCTACAGTAAACAGAGAGACAACTACATAAAAATATCTCTTTATAATAAATGTGACAATTAAAAATGGACAAAGTAGCATTTGATTACCAGCCACATCTTTAGAGCTTGGCATGAGACTTTATTTGTCTGGTTTTTGCTTGGATGGTGAAAGTGTCGTGGGACCAGCTTCTGCCCATTTATCTGTTGAATGACAGCAACGGCTTCCTTCTCTCCAAATGAGCACGATCTTTTGAGATTATCCTTGTTAATGCGCTTCTCATGGGGGGCGGAGCCAGAATTTGAATTCGGGAGGGGCGAATCACTGTTTCAAATTATATATATATATCATAAATGAATTTTGTGAGAATTGAAATTTTGAATGAGATTAATAATATATTAAATTAAGATTATATGTTAGATGCAACCTAAAGTTATGTTCTTGTAAGTTTTAATTCTTAACAAAATTTTTATTATAAAATATTAATTTATATATATTTTAGACAATAATAAAATTAAGATGTTCTTAAAAATTAGCATATTAATTCTTAGTTGATCTTATGGTGTAGCCTTTAATTGGAGGACTGTAACACAAATCTCTGAACTCAAGTTGTATAATGAGAATCATGTCAAATAAACAAGGAATTTTCAAAAGTAAAAGTTATTTGTGAGAAATTAGTGATTTTTTATTTCTTATCACAAACATATCATTAATTCACTATAACTAGAAAAACTATATTTTTATTCAAAATAATTGTCATAGGAAGGAGAAAAATTATCATTCGATTAATATTATATTAAAGAAAATTGAAAAGTAAAATATAAAAGTATAGGGGTTATTTGATTTTTTCAAAGATTTAGGGAATTTTTTGAAAATTTTTCGAAAGTTGAGGGCCCCTCGCACCCCTTCCCTCCGCCCTGCTTCCTATTGGCATTATGAATCAATCAGTTTAATTAATTTAATTCTTTTTTTTTAATTAACATGTTGGTCAATAACTAGTTGGTAAAACAAGATGGAGATAAGCCCGAAAAAATATATAAATAAAATAAATAAAAATAAAAATACAAACAGAGAGAAAAGAGTGTGAGTCGTTTTCAAAGAAACTAGAAGCTGATATATAATATGCAATAGCTCTCAGAGATGAAAGATAGTCTTACCTGGGAGGATTCATTTTGCTGAAAATAAGATCGGCAACTGTGTCTAACTCCGGTACCTTATCTTCATATTCTAATTTGGCCCTGAAATCCTCATCATCAATTAAGTTCTCGAGTTCCTCTGTGATACTTGACAACTTATTAGACCTTATGCTATCAATTATATCTTCCATGGTCCAAGCCGACACTTCCTTAGGGTCTATGTTCAGTAGCCTAGAAATCACCCCCGGATCCTCCTTTCCTCTATCCAACTCGTTGATCAAGTTCTGGACAGTCATCCTAGATCCTTCAAAAACCTCAAGTATATACTGATTAATCAAGGAATTCCGGAGCCAATCAAAGTATCTTGTTACCTGGAACGAAGAAGATAATTTATTCACTAAAAAAGTTTTCACCACCCATAGAGCCCCCACGATTACAAGAGTAACAAGATTGCTTCTGATAAAGTTCCGAATCTCAATAGGCCTTTGATTCCATATCTTTAACAAGCTAATACTGTCAAGCAATAAATACCATGTTAGAAGAATTAAAACAAAC